CACACACACACACAAACATGTAAAGCTCTCCAGCAGTGAGGCTCTGACCAGCTGTCTTCGGTCTGAAAGATGGCTGCCGTCACTCATAAACACAGAGAGCTTGCAGAGGAAGATGAGCGGAGGAAATATGTCTAACTTCTCTTCTCTGCCTCTCCAGCGTCTGCGTGTTTCACTTTTTCCACGTCATTCATCCAATTTAGATTTGACATTTTAGGTGGTGATTTTCTTTGTGAAGAAGGAGCTCCAATTTCTTAATCACTAGATTCAGAAGCTTCCAGTCGCCATAAGGCCCTTAACATTCTTGTGACCCTTTAATAATCAAATATCTGGGGAAGAAATGAGAAAAGGAGTTTGTTTTTAAATCTAATTCATAGATACAGGTACAGTGCAATTACCTGCTTCAAGCATTTAGTTGCTAAATGCTTCATATCTTCATTTTGAAATGTTTTTTTCATCTAAATATTGAAGTAGGTATTGTCAAATCACAGATGAGTGTGTTCTTGAGAAAGAGCTTTTCTCCTTTCAAAGGTACCAAGATGACTCATAACACCAGCCGCATCTAATAGTGTGTTTTGTTTTCATGCCAGCAATCGTTTTCTCAGAGAGGCCGTTTTTAAAATGGAGGACATTTGAATTTTAAAATGACACTCAGCGTTTTATAAAGAAAAATAATAAGTGGTTCCTGCTATAAAAATCCAGATAAATTATGGAATCCTAAAACACGATGGTGAAAAAACTAAGGTTTAGAGATCGGGTCGCCTAAAAATCGCAGGAATGTGGAATAGAATAGAAAAGACTCCCTCTATTTATCATGAATGGAAACCCGACAGAGTAATCGGCTTCAACAACATCCTGCTACAGAAATTCAGTTTGAATAGAGGTTTAGGGAGAACCAATCAAATGCCTCCATACTGAAACGATCCATATCATCAGGGCATCTGCGTAGAAATCGAAGCAGACACGGTGGCTACGCTAACAAAGATAACTGAAGCAGTCGCCTCCTTTCTCTCCCTCCAGTGTGTGTGTGTGTGTGTGAGAAAACCGGTGTGTATTGTTCATGGACCAAGGCTACTTCAGAGGAGGGGGCCCTTCCAGTCGTCCTCGCTGCATCGGCCCTTTCATCGCTCCCTTATCCATATTCATCACCGCCCCGCTCTCCTCACCTATCAGCGACCAGCTAGCTGTGACCGGCGTCTCGCTCCACCAATCGCACGCCTCCCTTTGTGGGAATATTTCCACCTCTCATCCCCTTCACCCCACCCTGTACAATGGCTTCTTTTTTTTTTTACTTTGACGCAGTGGCTAGAAAAAAAAGAGGAAGAGGAGAGGGTGGAGGAGGAGAAGGAGAGTTGCAGCTACCACTGGCAGAGTGCTGCCGACGGCGGCTGCGAATCGATCGACAGCCTCGGAAACGGTTGCCGGGCGAGCGTCGTCAATGGCAGCCTGCGATTGATGAAGGGGGTGGGTGGAGGACGAAATGATGGGAGGACGAGGGTGAAGGAGGACAGGAGGAGGGCGCAGTCGTGATGGTCTGAAGTAGAGCATGATTAGTATGGATGGGAAGGAGAGGAAGATGGAGAGAATGGAAGAGGAAGAGAGGGAGCAGCCGAGAAACGCTCAGGCTCGCGAGTGAACAAAACAGGCGTGTCGCAGAGGAGAACGCTGTGTTCTACAAGATACAGAGGATAAAGCACCAGAGTGTGAGCCGTATAACTCACTTTGTTTTTTCTAGAAATACTGCTCGACATTCGAATACTCAACGTACGAGAAATATCGCAACAGTTCTAATAACTTATTATTTCACTCAACAAATCTACTGATTTCTATGTATTCTGGCTGTTGCAGTGTTAGTGGTATGTAGGACTGAACCCCCTCTGCCTGGTGTTTATTTTTGAGTGTTCAAAGCCAAATGTGGGGCTTCTTCCTCCTCAGCCGGGACAGCCAATCAATGTGAGGAAGACAGCTCTCCTTTGTATGGACGACCCAAAAAAAGATGCTCCGCTCAGCTCTAGGAGCAACTGAAAACACTCGGATCAATAGCATCAAAGGCCCTGTCTCATTCCGCCAAGGCTCAATACACAGCATGCATGTGTGTGTGTGTGTGTGTGTGTGCGTATGTTGAGTGTGCGCGTGCGTGTGCGTCAATCCGCAGCGCAATACATCATTTACACACCTCTTCATCTCTCTCATTAAACTTCAGCTCTGCTTTTTGTGACTAAAGTCAGACAGAAAACACAAAGACAACTACTCAGCACACACGCACACACACACACACAGAAATCTTCCGGCCTACTGCTAGTCCCCTAATGTCACTTGGCAAGGGCATTGCAAGGCCCCCCTCCTCCTCCCCAACACTGGCTTGCCAGTCCATCCATTTACTAAATTAATGTATTATATCTTACAGACAGGAGAGGAGAGGAGACAAGAACAGAAAAGAAAAGAAAAGAAGAGAAATGCCTATCATAAAAGTGAGGAAAGGACTAAAAGGTCTGTACGTCCAGGTCAGCAACCTCTTCCCTGTTAAACCTGTAGGCGTCCCCACTCACATGTTCATTTTCTGACCACCTACATGAAAATCGGAAAAAAAAACAACATCCAATTTATTTTGTTTGCGCTTACATAAGACTTCTTAATGGCTTATACAAGCAGTTTTTTTCCCTGAAAGCTGCATTTGTTTCGAATGGACTGAATCTGAGTCATTGCTATTAGGCTGAAAGGCTGCTGTTAGGCATTGGAGTATCAGTATTGGTTATATGTGGTACCCTAAACAAATATCAGTAGTGTCAGTGGAGAGTTCTAGCTTTGCGTGGTCTGGGTGCTGTTTGTTTTCCACCAAGAAGAGAAAAACACAACCAAAGTGAATTCTTATCATTTTGGGGCTTAAAATTATAATTAGAAAATATTGCAATTGCAATAAATTGTGTAACTCTATTTCAACTGTCGATGCATCTCTGCACAGAATCCCTTATGGTACTTTTTATTTTGTAAATGTATTGTTCTTGGCAAATAAAGTGATGAAGTAAAATATTTAAGGGGATTTAATGTCTCGATGCTCAGTAGCCTTGGATGTCCTCATATCCTGAATCATTCTGACCACTTGATACTGTAAAAGCATTTAACTCAACATCAGTGCTGTTGCTGTAAAAACTCTCCTGAAGGCTTCATGCTATTGAGATTTTCTTATTTTATTTTCAAACATGTTTATTTCTCATTTAAAATTTAAAAAAGGCTACATCGTAAAAATACTGAACCCTGACTGGCCTAAATGACTTTTACTCATTTAGCCAATCAGGATCAAGTCTGGCTTTGAAAATGATCCAAGTTTAAACTTCTGAAAGTAAATCAAATATTAACAATGACCTCATTAAACATCTCTGATCATATATGTACATGATTACAGGGAAATCTGAATTCCTTTAATGTGGAGACGAACCCTGCTGGGTCTGGGTGAGGGGCAGGAGGGGGTGCAGCGATAAGAATGGGTTTGGGTTGGATTAGAGGGCTGGTGGGGGTGGGGGGCTGCCAACAGCAGCTACTGCAGCTACTCATTGATCTTTTCTTCTTTAAGACCTTTAGCTTTTTATAAGATGGAGCTGTGATTTATGACCCTCTGGTTTACAGGGGTCCCATATCGTCCCGTTTCCTACTGTCTGACAGCTGACCGGCTCTTTCCTCTCTTAATGTCGCCTCCCGTTTTCCTCACACACATACACACACGCAAACCAACTGGAAACTCTAAAATCTGAGTCCATCTTTTCTTGTCTTCTTTGAAATAAATATTCTCCTCTCGCTTCTCATTCACACAGATCTGAGTGACATGAATGGAAAACACTTTGCATTATACCTTACATCTGGATATATTTCTAAGTGCAGTTGTTGGCTAAAAAACATGACCATTATTAGTATCATTTTCTGCTCCGATGAAGAGAAATATTTGTGATTTAAAAGCTTTCGTCTTTCTTTTCGAGCTCTACACATTAAGTTTCAATCTACCTGTGAAAAAGCAAAAACATTCATCACTACAGTCATGTGATTTTTACTCAACAGCAGTGCATACTGTAGCCATCATATATCACACTTTGAGCACAATCAGTGAATGAACATTTCAACAACACATCAGCAGGCATAAACCCAAATGCTTGGATGATATGGCTAGCATGAGGTCAAAGGTCATCAGGACTCAATCTGTGCAGTAATGTTGGGTATCATGACAAAAGAAACACTGAATTTGTATAAAAAGCATGAAAATGGATGTTATGGAATTGATAACATACAGTATAAACAATATCAGCATGCATTATCCTGGATCATGAGTAGAATATGAGAGTGTTACATGTTACTTTAAATCCTATTTAAATGTCAGACCCTGCAGCAGTCAGACCTCATTGAAAAGCCCTAAAGTTTAGATTTCACTCTGCAGAATTTAGAGAACACAACATGTACGTGTTGTCACTGCTGAATCAGTCCTGCATTGAAGAAGGTTACAGTAAAGATTATAAAACAGGTAGAAGATCAAAATCAAAGTCTCTCTTACCATGAGTCTCAGTTTCTTGGTGAGGGAATACAATGCCTTCAGTTTCAAATAGGGGCTGCAGGAAGGCCACTACAGAGAGAGGAAGCACAGGGGTGGGGAGTGTGTGGCGTAAACTAATCATTCAGAGAAACAACCAGTATTATGATCTCTTAGCAGCACTTTGACTTGTATAACTTTTAAAACTGCAGCCTGTGTGCAGCTTTAAAATATAAATACAAAAACAGTCTCAGTGAAAATATACGGCTTCTGTTAAAAAAGCACTTTGGGTAAAATCAGCCACCACAAGGTGAATGTTTTCTTCTGCATCAAGGGCCAGGACCATAAACAGTTTCTGCATCTTGTTATTAGTAAAATAAAAGAATCATTGAGGTTAAGCTCATCTGATCAATTCAAGCTCTAAATAGTCATAATAGTGATCATCAAGACCAAATTCTTTGACCATGTTATTAGAACAAAAAGACACTTTTAAAAAACAGAACTGAATTAACTGTCAGTGCAAAAACGTCCCAAAAGACTTGCAACCAAGCTCTGATTCCTCTTTGTTGTTTATCTTAAGGGGCTGGAGTGAAGTGTGTGTGAGAGCGACTTGTTCATTTTCAACCAAATGTCATCCGATCATCAGCCTGATGCTGCCGGCTGAGGGAGTGTTGACTTGCCGGCACGGCGGCCGTCCTCTCTCCTTGAGTAAAAGGTGCTCATCATCCCAACCTTTTCATTTGTCTAAATGGACGAGCTGTCTGACTGTAATGCAGGCAGGAGGATGGTCCCCTGGGGGAGCCTTGGGTTTTTACATACAGCGTGGAGGGGCCTTTAGTGCTCCGAGTGCTGCATCGATCTGCAGTTAAACAGCGCTCGCTAACCTGCAGCTCACCCTCCTCAGCCGGACACTCTCTCTGTCTAATTATTACTCCTGAGGACAGCTGTCATGTTTCCTGGTGGGAGCTGAAGAAACTGTTAAAAATGACTGTCCTGTTCTTTTTCTGTCATTGCAGAGAAAAGGAAAGGTTCAGGTCACACAAAAATCTACTAAAAGATAAAAACCTATTGATCCTCAGGATCCTCTATGGATTGCACTAAAGACTAGTTGTTTTTTTTTAAATCGTGCCACCTGTCAGTGTGCACTGAAAGGGACAGGGCACTCAAACTCCACAGGTCTATTTAGATTTTATGTTTTTAAAACATTACTGTAACCATCGCACTTACTTGCACTAAATTAGCAGATCATCCAAAGAGCTTTGTGAGTGAAGTCTTGTGGCCATTTCAGTGTGAGACTGATAAATCAGGCCAATAATGACACCTCAGTAGAGCATCAGATGCCACGCAGTAATGTCTCCAATATGATGGAGGTTCCTCTCTGATCAAACCTGCAGTGGAATCATTTTTTCTTTGCATATTTTTTTATTAATTGACTTTTTTAAATGACTCTCAGATTGTATTTATAATTCATAGTAAAATGTAAATGCTTTTAACAGCTGCATGAAATTTTCTTTCAAAGAACAATAGTTTAATCTTGAAAATAAAGGTGTAAAATTTACTTTATGGATTGGCTCTCTATCTCTGCCACTTATATATAATATTTTTCTCCGTTTTTCTTACATAATTACTTATTTCTCTCCTTAAGAAACAGGCGTCCACAATATTATTACACATTCACAGTGACAGTCAGATTTAACAGTCTGCACTAAAATGTTGGCTCGCCTAAAATCTACCAATTCTACACAGAACATTTCTAAAGGAGTCTTGTGCACTCAAAATCTTTAACCGCACATAGAAATTCTTCACTCTTCGTTGTTGTGTAAATAACACATTTAAAAGTGTAGTGTATGTCCAAATGTCCATGATGGGGTGCATGGCCAAGATAGGCTACTGATGGTTGTAATGCCGGGTGATGGGAATGCTTGGCGCATGACAGCATGTAAACAAAAACCAAATATGGTGATCGCCATGGTGACATATCCATATTTCATCCAACCAGAGAATAATGAAGAAACACGATTGGACAATTTAGAGGAAAAAAATATCTCTCCCTCCTAACTGCAGCTTGTTAAAATCAGGACAGCAAAGCATGATAAAAAAATATACAGGCACTGACACATGCTGCAATAACACAGAGACCCTGTCGCATTCTGAGCCGCTCTGGATTCCCCTTGTTCTTTCTGGCTCGCCACAGGCCTGCTGTTAATATGAGTCCGCTTGTTTATCTGCTAGTGTAATTGTACACAAAGCGGCGATGGTGGCTGATGTGTGAGATTATCACAAGGTCATCCGTCGACGGGATGAGAGCCTACGATCACGCACCAGCCTGATCTGGCTTTCACTTGTTTACATCCTTTTTTTGGCTCCAGCATGGCCGCTGTGGCTGCGCGTAAATCTTAAGACGCAATAAAAACACTCAATTCGGCTGATCTAAGGAGGCTAAAAGAGTCGGGATGTGAGCGAGGGGAACCGGCGGCTTCCCTCCAAATCCCCCTCAGTCCCTCTCATTGTTTCCTTTCCATCAAAAGCGGCGCCCATGGTTATTTTAATGCTGATGGGAAATGACTGTCGCTCATTAGAAGGCGGATTAAAAGAAAAAATAGTGCCCTCTGTATTTATTTCACTGCGTAACTGGAGCACAAATCTATGAATCTGGGGCTGTAGCATGCCGCTGTGTACGTCAAGAATCAGATCAACCTGCTCTCCTTTCTCTCTGCCTGCCTGCCTCAGGACGAACATTCACCAAAACCCGAACAGCTCCCCGCATCCCCATCGCTGATCTTACCTCCCGTGTTTGTGCGTTTGGTGCTGCTGGCCTCCGTCGGAGTCTCCAGGGGTCTTTTACGCGAGTCCGGGGGATCGGACTCCATGTGTGGTTGTTGATTGTGATGATGAGGATTTGAGAAAATCCCGTTTTGCTGTACAGCTCCGCCGGCCATCATTTTCGAGCTTGCTCTTGGATGCTTGGGCTGCGTTTGCGTTTAAATCCCCCCTTTTCCCGTTGTTTTTTTTTTTACGCAGCGTAGCCGTGCAGATGAGTCCTTAGAGAAGGCGAAAGCGATTTAGGAATTGGAAAAATACGCTTGTTTCTTACGGACGGGGAAGGTTAGCTGCGCGTTTCTCCGTGGTGCGCCGTGCGTACAGAGATGCTGCGCAGGGAGAAAGAAAGAAACGCTGGAGCGGCGGATGATCGGCTCAGAGGGGGGAAAAATCCAAAACCTCTGCAGATGGAGAGAGATCTAGGCTACTAAAAACGTGCAAATGGAGCGTCAATCTTCCATCAACCTTCTGATATGCGGGCTAGGATATGTGTGTCATTCCGCTGCAACTGGATAAAAGAGCGTACTCATGTCAGGCAGTGCAGGATGGTGGCGCTCCTCCGCAACAGCCAGCGAGCAATAAATAAAACAAAACAAAAACAAAACAAAAAAAACAACAACAACCGAAGGACCAAAGAGGCGAAATCAACCGAAGGAAGAAGAAAGAAAGGAGAGGTCAGTGAAGCAATAACAATACAAAAAAGAAATCCGATGCGTTACTGATAGGCTATAAGGATTTCTTTCTTCTTATGCTGTCCTGGCTCCGATCGTGAAGACACCCAGGGGCGGCGGGGTGTTTGAGGAGAGTCCGGAGACGAGGAGCTGGAGGAACACGCAGAGAAAGAGACGTTTTTTCCTGCTCGTTCTCTCGGTGAAGATGCTGCAGTCTTGCGTTCAGAGCATCCCTTCTCTGACTGGCTGCTAGAGGGAGCGCAGGGGAGCGGCTGACGTCACAGGGCCCCGCGCTGCATTCAGGGACATCCCGGAAACTTGGGTTTGCCCAATACTGTAACTGCGATTTGTGTGTGTGTTTAAGTATTTTATTTAAAAAAAAAGAAAATAAAAGCTAAAAAAAAAAACTAAGTTGTAGTAGTACAACTGTAGTAGTAGTAAGTTGTAGTAGTTTGAGGAGGCTTCTTGTTCTCTTACAAGCTCAAGCTAGGCGCAGAAGCACTGTAGTGAGGTCAAAATATAAAAAGCATGCTATTAGATTAACCTACATTATTATCACAGCAGGGGTCTTTATCTCATACCCCCAACCCTCTGCAGGTTGTAAATATAAACAGATAGCATGCTGACCTGAAAACTTACCGAGGCTGCGTCAAATAAACATTTCAAGCTCAGTTCAAACATTAAATCCCGGCCTTGCCATGCTGTAGCCAGCTCGCGGGTTCCTTATTTACGACGTCACCTGAAGGCACCACGAGAGAGAAAGCGAGAAACCGAGAAGGAGAGAGACGCCTCCGTCGACACGCGATTGGCCGAGGCTGCATTTCTCCGGCAAAACGAGAAGGACACAGACATATTCGTCCGCTGGAGTCACATGACGGAGAGGAAAGGATGCGGCGGCGGGTTCTTACTCCGTTACAGCCGCGGCAAATGCAATTATGGTTGAACGGGAGCCTGAAGGTCCCGCTGCGGCTGTTTGAAGGTCTGTAGCGCTGCCTGTCAGCAGGCCCAGGGAGCCTCAAACACACCTGGAGCTCTGCAGGAGGAGAGCTCGTCCAGCTTTCAGGCTTGAATTTAAATATCAGAAATCAGCAAGTGAATCAAACTGGTGAGAGTTTAAGGAGGGTGTTTTTATTAAAGTGGGAAAAAAAGGCACAAATCAGCAGCATTTTCTTAGAAATCTAATACATTTTTTTGTTCCTATCTGTGGTTCTTTGCCTCATTGTGATCCACACAATCGTTAAATTTGACACATTTTTGTTTCCAAAGCACTTCACAAACCCTGATGACCCTCAGGTCAAACTACAGGCCTGACCACCATCTACCTGCAGCAAAAAAAATTAAAAAAAAATAACCAAATTTGACAGGTATGGTAGTTTTGACATGACCACAATGCATTTATGACACTGAAAACAGCCCTATAATACAGGGGGCATGAAACTGAGCCCCCGGCCTGTCTCACCTGTCCCCATAGCTGCTGTGTGACCCACCTGTGTGTGCTGCGCCTGACATCTCTGCGTCGCTCCGCCTGGATCTGAAGAGGGATCCTCCAGCACTGTGAGCTGTCTGAGAGAGCTATACCCGCCTCAGTCTTTCTCTCTCCCTCTCACACACACACGCACTCACACATTTGGCATATTCTTACACACACTCAGAGAGACACGCAAATACCTTCTACTCCCTCTCTCCTCCTCTGTCCAGTGCCGTACAGATGCGGTGCGCCCTCATTGCCTCCTGTAGATTGTAGTCAAGGTGACATTGTGCTGCCTGTGCACACGCGCGCGCACACACACACACACACACACACACACACACACACACACACACATATACACACACACAGTCGCACAGAGCAGCTCTCTCACACTATTTCACATCGCCATGAGAAACGCTCCGGTGAGCCAGTCTCCTGCTCTGGAAATACGTGGCAAATCCGAGGCAGATGGATCCCAAGCTGCAGTCTGAAACAGATTCTGCACCACAAATAACAGGCGCCGCTCAGAGGCACAAAAGGCCTGGTCTCCGGCTCCTAATTGCATGAGCCACTCTGCATAGTCTGTAGAGTGTAGCACAGTTTCAGCTGGACACATGCATTTATACATTTGGAGCAGAGACAAAATCTGTTGGAAGCTGAACTGTGAGGGTCCCACGCTGCCAGATCGTCCACGCTGCTGCTGCAGCATATGGAAAAAGTGAAGTAGCCCCATAAGCAGTAAAGCACACAGACTAGCAGCATTCTTGAGTTTTTATTAGGCTGGAGCTATGAGCAGATGTTAGTGAGATGGTTTTCAGAGATTTGGTTGTGCAAACTCCTGTTCGGCTTTTGGACAGTGACTCCCAGACACTTAAAGCGGCTTTCCCGAGTTGCCACAAGTTATCCTGAACACCACATGCCATTTGGAGGAAGCAAGGTTATGGTAATAACTCAGATTTTCCCACTATGTCAAAATCCTAATGCAAAAGCTTCAGTTCAGCCAACAGCAAATGTTATTCAGGGTTCCACGAGTTTCACTCTCATGGAATCAGTTAGGAAGAGGAGATTTTCCAGTGATAGATTTTTCATTTTGGAACCAAAGTCTGGAATCCCCAGTTACGTGACAAAAAAATGTTTGGTAGTGACTCAAAAGCAAAAGGGAAGAAGAGCCGAGGCACGAGCCAGCTGGAGTGTCAAATCTCAGACCTCTGAGATAGTAAAACGGTTCTTAGGTCTGACCTGGTGCACAAAATGACATAAACATTCAAGCAATATCAGCTCTGCAATGAAGAGATGATTTGTTACCATCAATGAGCCGTTCAGTAATTCAAATAAAGGCGGTATGAAGTATCGAGAAAAGAGTTTTCTCCAAGAACAAGGTCATCCTCAGCAGGTGTGACCTGCTCACACCTGTTTTCCCTGCAGAGTTTAGGGCTGTACGAACAGAATTCTGGGTGTTTCTCTAACACTGGGTCAAGGCTGACTGCAGCTAAATGGATATTCAGGATGTAAAATAAGCTGTGTGGTTCACAGACGTTGGGCCTCTGCTGCCCCCTGCTGATAGCCTTGTAGAAGAGCAGCACACAGTCGGGAAACATTTACTCCAGTGACTGTTTTCCACTTATCACTCTCTTTTGGATTTCACTAGTGCAGCTGACTTTTTTCTCATTTATTGCTGTTATCAATTATGCATGGGAAAATAAGACATTAGACAACAGCTGATACTGGCTCATTACAAATTACAAACTAGTTTTGCCATGTACAGTATACTGTATGTTTGCAGATATTTATAAAAAAGCAGCGTAATCATGTTTTGTAGGCTGAATTTTTATGTATTTTTACTAAATTTAAAAAAAATGTTTAATATATTTTTTTGTAAATATATTATTTCACTCACTTTAAATCTCTCACATTGGGATATTAATAAAAATTGATTGCTGCAGAGCCAGTATGGACAATTAAAGCCACCAAAAACCCATATGGGCAATTGAGTATTGAGTCAAAAATGTAAACCTGTCCTTTACTGTAATTCACCATAATTTAATTGATTAAAAACAATGAATATCGGCCTCTATATCTCTATATATCAGACTTTCTGTTACTCTTATCTCTTGTCAGTATCAGCCTTTGCCTCAAACATCCAGTATCAGTTGGGATTATATCACCTCACTGAAGCATTCCTAAAGAAATAAACGTTTCTGTGCAAGGAAAGCCCTAACTGGAAGCTCATTGTTTAGATCGTATCTGTATCCAGTGTTTTGCCAACCAGCCTTCACTAACAGAGCAAATCCACAGCCCAGTCTGTCCACTCCCACTTCCCCTTTTGCATAATTGTCCTCCCACCCGGCACTCATTCAGTTTTATCCCAGAAATCAATGGAAAAGTCGATGCAGAAGAGGAGGCTCGGCCACTCTCTGAGATTGGAAGGAGACAGATGTGACATGCTCCTCTTTATTTTTGTAGTCGCTGACCTCACCCGTGCCACCATACTCAGATTTATGACTGAAACAAACACGGCCTGACTGCAACAGAGGGAAACAGGATTACAACTGTATGTTATTTATAAAGACTTAATCACTTTTCCAATCAGCACTTACGTATTTTTAGAAACTACTGTACCAAAGCAGTGTGCCAGCTGTCTTTAAAAGAAAGCTGTCCGGATTCTCCAGATATTTTCAGAGGAGGAGAGGTAGTGATTACATTCTTTATCATCTCAGGCAAAAGATTCAGTGCTGAAAGAGGTTCCAACCTATATATATATATATATATATATATCAGGAACCAGTTTTTTATATAAAAAAAGACTAAATTGATCAATTAATAAAAAAAAAATATTTCTCTCCCACTCCTAGTAGTATCTAGCCATACAAGTAATTTGGGTTTATGTACCCAGGTTGTGTAGCTGCCAGAGCAATACAGTAGAGTGCATTTCACTTACATTAAAAAAATTAAGCAGAAACATTTCTTACCACAAACACTGTCCCGGTAACTCTGGATAATACACAAAACATTGAACATTGGAAAGACAAATTGCTGTTGAAATTTGTATCTAAGTGCCTGCATTATGGTAATTGTGGACAGATGGTGTTGTGGGGGGGGGTGTCTGGGTGAAAAACCCATCATTCCAGCCACCTCTGTTGGAGGTTTATGAGATTTTGCATAAATCTACACCGTTCTCTGCACGCTGTCTTTAAAATACTGCTGCTTGTGTCTCCGCACAGACACACACACACACGGGAGAGAGGTGGTTCTCCACTTTGTGTTTCTCTACCATTTTGTGATCATTCCTCGGATTCCACAGATAAAGACTTTGACCCCTGGTTCTCTTAAACGTTTACTCTAATGGCCGGTGTGTAAGGTTTAGTAGCATCCAGCAGTTACGTTGCAACCACCTGGAAGCAGCTCAGCCTTCCAAGCGCCTATAAGAGAAACTACCGTGGCTATTAAACTTTTAAAACACATGAAATACCCTATCTAAAGCCGGTGTTTGGTTTGTCCATTCTGGGCCACAGTAGGTTCAACATATCGGCCTCCATAAAGTAGGAACGGCTCATACTAATTCTCCATTCTTTCAGGTGTTTATACGCCAATGAAAACTTACGTATGAATATTATATTCCATATCTACCAATACATCCTCATAAATATTGCACACTCGACGTAATGTGATCAAGCATACACAGGGCAGTGAACTGTGACAACCAAGGATTTAGGTTGTTTCACTTGATTAATTATGGTAGGAAGCCAAGAGGCAGATAAAACAACCATCATTTTGCAGTGTGATTGGAAAGAATAGGACATATTTCCATATAAAAAAATGACTTTT